GGGGGGGGGCCGCCATGAGGAGCAGATGAGGGTGACGGCGGGAGTCAGGCCGCGAGTCCTGTCATCCTGGGGCTCTGGCTTGCAGGCTGCGGGTCCCGCCTGGAGGACCTGGGGTAGAAGGCGGGTGGACGGCAGCCTTAACGCTCGTGGAGGACTCTGGCCCTGTTCCACGGGCAGCGCTGGGCCCTGGTGTCAAGCGGACATCGCATTGTCAGGGAGGCGTTTTTCTTTCTATGAAAATTTTGTGTTGAAGTGATGTTTATGCAAGAACAAAAGCAAGAGCACAATGAGCTTTTACCAAGTGAACTTACCCGTGAAAGCAGCCAGCTGGGTGCCGGTGGCTCACAGCCAGCCCAGGGGACGCCCGCTGTGCTAACCTCCATCTTTGGAGTTGGCCTTAGACCCATGGGACCTTGGTGAATGTGGCCCTACAACCAGCCCTACAGCAAAGCCGCTTTCCGTGGCTCCCCCTCTTTCTTCCTTTTTCTCCCTTACTTTCTCTCTTTCAAGGCAGAGCTCTGCTCTGTCGCCCGGGCTGGAGTTCAGTGCAGGATCTTGGCTAACTGCAGCCTCAGCCTCCCAGGCTCAAGCCTCCGGGGTGGCTGGGGTTACAAGCATGTGCAGCCATGCACCCCTGATTTTTAAATTTTTCACAGAGATGGGGCTCCCTTTGGTGCCCAGGATGCTCTCCAATTCCTGTTCTCTAACGATCACCCGCCTTGGCCTCCCGAAGTGTTGTCTTTGTATTTGTATGTAACTGTAGTTCATCTACTTTCATTGTTGTGTGGTATTCCATCGTATGGATACACCCCAAGTTACTTATCATTTCCACTGTCCATGGCCATCCGGGTTGTTTGCAGATTTGGCTGCAGAAATGGTGCCGCTGTGAATCTTCTCGCTCCTGTGTTTGGTGATCTTAGGTACACATTTCTGTTGGGTGTGTAACCTAGGAGTGGAGTTGTTGATTTCAGGTGTGTATTTAAAAACAAAAGTCTCTCTGGCAGCCAGGTGAAAAGTAGATTGGAGGGAGATAGAACCTGTGGGAGAGACTGCAGCTGAGCACATGAGAGGTGATGGGGAGAAGTGATGGGTTCAGGAGAAGTTAGGTAGATTCAGCAGACTTGAGTCGGAGACAAGGGCTAGAGAACGGGACAGAGTTTCGCTGCTAGACAAAACACTGGAGAGGAGCCCAGTGGGAGGGAACGTAGCAGGGTGGGATGCAGGGCCCCTGAGCTCATGTTTGGACATGGCCTGTGTCCTGTGAGAGCCACCCAGGGGAAGACAAGAGGCAGTTGCCCATGTGGGTCCAGAACTAAGACAGCCAGGAATACATTTGGGGAGTGATTAACACAGGATAATAATCCTAGATACTGGAGTGTGGAGAGCCCCAAAGGCAAAGGAAACTGTAAGAGACTATCTTGTTGGAAAGAGCATTTGTTGAAGGAGGTAAGGAAGATGTCAGGTAAAGAAGAGAGATGTTGATGAACTGGACATCCCAGTGAAATCAAGGAATTGGTGTTTGAAAGTGTCCGTTGGACCAGTGAGGAGGGCACTGGTGACCCAAGATAACATTCCTCGAAGATAACATTGTTAGGAATGATGGAGACACACGTACCTTCGTGGTGTTGGGAAGTGTGAAGACAGGGCTCAGAGTGTCATAGCTTTCGAAGTCAGCAAAGCCTGCGTTGGCAGGTGACTGGTTAACGGCCTGAGGCAGGTATAGATTGACAAGTTTGTCTAGCTCTTAAAGCCGGTAGTCTGAGTGCATTCCTCCAAAAAGCCACTGATGCTGCATGTTGGGACCACACCAAATCCAAGGACACACAAAAAAATGGTGAAAAGGGATGGAGGCTCTGGGCAGAGCCCTTACTGTAGCTCCGTAGCTGTCCAGTGGTGCATCACTCAGAGGGAAGCCCTTGTTTAGCTCTGACGTATATCCTTCCAAACTTTTCCTATAGATGCAGATTTTTAAAAGCAATACAGTGTGTCTATCATTCAGTTATCTGCTTTTATTACTCGAACATGGACCTCCTTCCATGTTAAAATAAGTCTGTATCATCATTCTTTTTTTTTTTTTTTTTTTTTTGTTGCCCAGGCTGGAGTGCAGTGACGTGATCTCGGCTCACTGCAAGCTCCGCCTCCCAGGTTCACGCCATTCTCCTGCCTCAGCCTCCCGAGTAGCTGGGACTACAGGCGCCGCCACCATGCCTGGCTAATTTTTTGTATTTTTAGTAGAGACGGGGTTTCACTGTGTTAGCCAGGATGGTCTCGATCTTCTGACCTCGTGATCCACCCGCCTCGGCCTCCCAAAGTGCTGGGATTACAGGCGTGAGCCACCGCGCCCGGCCTGTATCATCATTCTTAAGGTTGCATGATGTATCTTTTGGGTATCATACCATAACATATTTTCTGCTATTTTGCTATGAGATACTGCTTGTTCTCTTACTTTTTTTCCTTGGAATATATTCTTAGGGGTGGAGTGGCTAGGCTGCGGGTGTGCACATGAAAACTGACCCAAATGTGACCCAAACAGGCACAAAGGATGTGCCTGTTTCTGTTCCCTGTAGTGACACGTGAGCACCTGTTGTTCTTTCCTCTTTGGTGTCTCTTACTAGTGAACTTGACCTTCATTTTGTGTGTTTGTCAGCTGTTTGCATTTTTTCCTATGTCTGTTCAGGTCTCCTCATAGCCTTTTATTGAGGTGTTTTCTTTTAATTGACTTGTGAGCACTATTTGTAGATCAGGCATCAACCCCTTTGTCTATTGGCTGCACGTGATTTCCTCTCTGTCTTGTCTGTTAATCCTCCTCCCTTGTAAGAGCTTTTAGATTTTTATGAGTCAACTCTGTTAATCTTTTACTGCATGACTCCTGGCTGTGATGGTGCAGAAGAGGAATTTTCCTGCTCCAGAATTCGCAGTTAAAGAGCTGGAAGGGAAGGGACCTACTGTCAAGGGTAGATGTTTTTAGCATGAGGGCAACTTGAAGAAGAGAGGAAAGGAGACAGTTCTGGAGGCTGTTAGAAGGGGACCCCTCATTCCACAGTAGGACACCGTTCTGTGTGCTGGGAGCTGCGGACACTGAGGCAAGTGTGGATACACAAGTGAAAGCCTGGGCTTGGACTGGAAGAGATGCTCCCTCCAAGGCAGAAAGGAAGGAGGTAGAGTGAAGTGGGTTGTTCTGTGGTGGGTCAGTCTAGAGGAGAGGGCAGAGAAATTGAGGTAGGTCATGAGCCAGGGCTGCTTCTCAGTAGATGATATGAGGGCCCTGGTTTGAACAGCCCCGTGGGGAATGGGGCAGAAAACACCCAGGAAAAGCAGGATTGCACAGCAGTGTTGCTGACTCAGCAGCGCTGGAATCCTCAAGTCTGTGAATCCACCTCTCGCTCCTCTCACTTAAGAAATGTTTTTCTCGTAGTTCTAGCTGCGCTGACCCAGAGGAGGGGAGAAATCCACCAGGCTTGTTCAGGTTTGTGCCTGGTGTCCTCCCTGGAATGACAGGAGCGTGAGGGCTCATAGTGCCTGGTCCGCTCTGGGCTCCAACCTGACTAGTGAGAAAATCAAGCTTGAGGTTCATTTTGAATAGTTAAACATTTTAGATTAAGAGATCACTATAAAGCCTAATCATGGGCTGAGCGTGATGGCTCATGCCTACAATCCCAGCTCTTTGAGAGACCGAGGTGGGCAGATCACCTGAGGTCAGGAGTTCAAGGCGAGCGTGGCCAACATGGCAAAACCTAGTCTCTACTAAAAATACAAAAATTAGCCAAATGTGTTGGTAGGCACCTATACTCCCAGTCACTTGGGAGACTGAGGCATGAGAATCGCTTGAACCCAGGAGGTGGAGGTTGCAGTGAGCCAAGATCGCATCATTACACTCCCACCTGGGTGACAAAGTGAAAGAAACTCTGTTTCAAAAAAAAAAAGAAAGAAAAAGCTAATTATGGCCAGGCACAGTGGCTCATGCCTGCAATCCCAGCACCTTGGGAGGCTGTGGTGGGAGGATTGTTTGAGCCCAGGAGTTAGAGCCCAGCCTGGACAACATAGTGAGACCTTGTCTCTACAAAAAAAAAAAAATTAAAAATTAGCTGGCCGTGGTGGCACACGTCTGTGGTCCTAGCTACTCAGGGAGGCTGAGAGGGGAAGACTGTTGAGCCCAGGGAGGGGTCAAGGCTGTAGTGAGCTGTGATCATGCCACTTGCAGATCAGCCTGGGCAACAGAGCAAGACCTTGTCTCAAAAACTTTTTTTAATTTTAATTTTTAAAAAGCTTTATTGTAATAAATACCTGGGATAGACTTAGCCTTAAGTGTTGTTGATCTTTATGGTCACTGTTTTTGTGCATATTTGCAAAGGAGGGGAAAAGGATGTTAGTTCTATAAATCCTTCCAACTGTACCAGAACCCACAGCCTCATCCTGTCAGAACATGAAAACCTGTGATATAATCCTGCTTATTTCTTGAAGAAACATTGTAAAGTCTGCATGTATACATACTTAAAAGCAGTAGTCAGTCTAATATAATAAAGCCTATTTTTATCTTACAGGTAAAAAGAATGAATGCTTGATTTGTAAAGCTCCTTGTCGTACAGTTTTACTTTCAAAACATGTAAGTTGAAATCTGTAGTATCTGCTTCTTAATCACAGTCATATTTCCTTTTAAATTTGTTATTTAATTTTTAGTCATTTATGGTGTCTAAAATTTTCAGTCACTCTGCTACGTTAACAAAGATATCTGAGTGATCAAAATGCAGTTAGGATTTAGTTTTTAAAACTTACTTTTTTTTTTTTTTCTGAGACGGAGTCTCGCTCTGTAAAACTTACGTTTTAAAAACTGTCTTAGCTGTAGATTGACCTTATTCCTAGGTTGTTGAATCGTGCTGTGTTCCTAGAAATGAAAGTGGGTTAAATAGATTTCTTTAGCACCATACAAGCACCTGAAGCGGGCGATAGAGTTTGGATTTGTATAGGGGTCATATATAATTAAGAGTGTTGTTGGTAAAGTAAGTTTAAAATCAATTACTGCTGAAGACTTAAAACAATGCCTTTTGTTCTCTCTATAAAATACTCAGTTTAACTTGTTATTGGGATAAACAAATGATTGGTGTTTTCTCTGCCTGATCTCCAAAATGTGCATTTGGTCTGATGATTTAAACATAATAGTTGTTTTTCTCTGATTACAAACATAATACAAAGTTACACAACATTCATACAGTACAGGAGATTATAATGGCAAATGTGTAACTCCCCAGATCCTGTTTCCCAGAGATGACAGTGGCCAGGAGTTTGACACCTGTTCTATGTGTGTTATTGTGATTTACCTTTTCGTAAAAATGGTGTCTTCTCGGCCAGGCACGGTAGGTCACGCCTGTAATCCCAGCACTTTGGAGGGCCGAGGCGGGCGGATCATGAGGTCAGGAGATTGAGACCATCCTGGCTAACATGGTGACACCCCGTCTCTACTAAAAGTACAAAAGATTAGCCGGGTGTGATGGCGGCGCCTCTAGTCCCAGCTACTCGAGAGGCTGAGGCAGGAGAATGGCGTGAACTGAGGCAGGAGAATGGCGTGAACCTGGGAGACAGAGGCTGCGGGTAAGCCGAGATCACGCCACTGCACTCCAGCCTGGCTGACAGAGCAAGACTCTGTCTAAAAAAAAAAAAAAAAAAGGTGTCTTCTCAGTTGACATTATATTTTGGGCACACTCACTCTTAAAATGACTGCATTATATTTTAGTATTTTCCTATCAGTGAGCCTTTGGATTTTTTTGGTTTTTCGCTGTTTCGAACAACCTTCCAGTGAACATTTTTAACCAGTATCTCTCCACACTTGTAAGAATATTTCTGTGACATAAATTCCTGAAGTGATGAAAAAGCAAGGGCAAAAGATGTAAATGTTTACACTTTTAACAGAAAATACTTTCTTTTCCTCCACACGTGTGGCAGCTTAGAGGCTCAGTGACTGCCTGCTTCTGCTCCTCACGTAGTGATCCCGCACTAAGCCCTGTCACATGGTCAGGCTGGAGGCTGGTGAGCCCTTAGCCTTACTCTAGCTTGGGTGGAATGTTCAGGTCGTTTACTTACTTTCTTGTTTCCTAGTAAATATATTTAAGACCATCCGTGTCTTTCTGTGCACTGCTATTCTTTATCATTTTGAGTACCACTTTTCTCTCTTTTCTAAATAAACTCTAATCTGTCTTTTTATTTTTTTAACTCAAGAATTATTTGAAAGGATATGCTTTAGTTTCCAAGTGGTTAGATTTTAGCTCCCTGTCATTTTCATCGTTAATTTTTAGTCCTATGGGATTCTGATGAGAGAATATGGCTATGTGGGTTTTTTAATTATCAGGATTTTCACTGTGGTTTAATACATGGTAATTGTTCATATTTGATGGGCGTTTAAAAAGGCATGTGTTCCTTTCTGTGTGTCTGAGTGTGTGTGTGTGTGTGTGTAAGTAAAATTGTTTAAAATGTGGAAGTTGTTCCTGCTTCTTTTTCTCTAAACCATCACAGACTGTGTGGGCTCTTTCTTCCGTAGTCTCTTCCAAATGCCGGTCTTCCTTTCCCTGTTGCTCCACCCCCCATAGGAGCTTCTGGTTCCTCCTCCTCTCACTCTGGCTTCCTAGAGCCTCTTCACCCTGCAGCCAGAGGGATCTGCGTAAATGCATCCCAACTTTCCAGGAGTCAATGCCAAAGTCCCCCACGCCTGTAGGCCCTGTGGCCTGGCCTCTGGCAGCCTCGTGGTCCCCAGGCAGCAACTGTGGGCTACAGCCTCTCCAGGAGCCAGGGTCTTCCACCTCAGTGCCTGGCTTTCCTGTTCCCTCTGACTGGAATGTCCTCTCAGATGGCCACAGGCTCCATCCCCCGCAGCCTTAAGGTGTCTATGGAATGTCAGGAGACATCACCAACAGCTCTGGGTCATGCTGACTTCTTTGACCCTGACCTGCAATAGAAGGGACGCTTTATATTATGGCAGTGTGTGCATTTGCACGTGGGTGCATCCGTGCATGAGCACTTCCGTGAAATCAATTTCACGAAGCACTTCTTACCCTCGCTTAGTGCAGTACCCTCTGATCGTTTCTATTCTCATGTTGTTTTGTCTTTAAAACAAAACATGTTATGAGTAAACTTCCCCAGACCTGATTGTGACAGACACCACCGTGTAAAAGTGACCCTCTGACGCTGTGTTCCTTGACCTGGATTATTCTGCTTCGCACTGTGTGTCACCACCTAAGATATCTTTATATATTGATTTGTTTGTCATTAAAATGCTCCGTTACGACTGAACGCACAAAATAGGGCACCACCGTATTGGTTGGGTGGTGGATGGCCAGGGAGCAGGGCAGACTGAAGGATGTGCCTGGGGATGTGGTGGGTGGCCGGGCCACCGGCAAGGGAGACTCCGGTGAGCCCGGAGCAGAGCAGGGGCTGTGCTCCCCCCGCATCTGCCTCCTTGAGGAGGGAGAGTGTAAGCTAGACTGTGCCGGTTTTTACACACACGTGGAAAGGAGTAGCTATAGTAAGGAGATGAAGGATGAGGATGCCCCACAGTCATGGACATACCAGTTGCTTTTAAACTCCAAGTGGTAAGAGATAAGTCTCGAGGGTGAAGGCCTTGAAAGTTGAGGCAGCACTTCTGCCTCACTTCACTTGATGGGAACCCCAGCAGGCAGAAGCAGGGCTTGGAGACAGCAGACAAGAAAGCTCCCCCAGAAGGTAGTCCAGCCCAGGCTCTCCCTGGGGAAGGAGCCCCCAGCACCCATCCTCAAATACCTCATGCCATGCACCTGTGTTCTTCCTTCTCCCTTGATGCGGTGGGGAGTGTTTCTTAGTTTTCCTGCCCCGTGCCCCCATTAGACGTCAGGTCACAGCAAGGATGCAGACACGTTCATTGTCTTTCTAGCTCGTAGACTGCAGGCCAAATCGGGACCCAGTTGCCCCAGCATCTGAGCTGGGCAGTGACAGTGGTGTTGGGGGTGCTCCACTCTGGGGGAGTGACTTTCTGTGTAGGGGAGGAGTGACCTGGATACCAGTGACCAGATGGCAGACCGGGCCAGGCTGGGCAGTCATCCCCACACCTGCTCCCTCTGTTCCTGGGCACCTGGCTGTACTCATTCTCCCCGTCTACCTTCCCATGCTGAAATGCAGGCAGGAGCAATGAAGGCCACTTCCAGGCCTGAGCCATAAAAACAGCCTCCTAGACAGCCCTCCACCGCCCTTCCGTCACGGTAGAAGCTCAGGAGAACAGAGCAGAGCTGCTGGGGGCAGGGTGACCTGGGCCCAGGGCCTGTGTGGAAGGCCACCCACTGAGCCTGGTCTTGAACTATTGTGTGGGCAAGAAACAAGTGTCCCCACAATAAGCCATTGAGATTTGGGGGTTGTCTGATACACCAGTTGGCCTACATTCATCTTCTCATGTCCACATATATTTTGGAGGCAACTCGGCAATTTCCACACACATAGAATCCTGTTGGGATTTTTATTGTGCACTTACTGTTCTTTAGGGAGGCTTTGTGCATCAGTGTTAGTATTTTTCTTAGGTATTTAATGATTTGGACTGCTACTATTACAGTTTTAAAAAAACTACCTCTTAAGTGCTTGTTGCTAGTATATAAAAATGCAGTTGATTTTCTTAACTTTCACTAGTGACCTTGCAGAATTTACTTGATAACTCTGTTGGTTTATATGTAGATTCTGCTAGAACATTTACATATGCAAACATGTTATCTTGGAATAAGGACTGCTTTAGATTTCTCTTTGTAATCCTTATGTGCTTCCTTTTTTTTTTTTTTATGGCATTGGCTGGGACCTCCAGTACAGTGCTGAATAGAAGTAGTGGCATTAGCTGATGCCCCTGTCCTTTTCCTGATTTCAAGGTCAAACTTTCAGTGTTTCATCAAGTATCATATGTGCATCAAGTTTTTGCTAAGGTGCTTTTTAATCATCATGAATGGTATTGAATTTTGTTAATTTTTCTATAGTTATTGACTGTAACTATTAGCTTATTCTATAGCTGTTGAGATTATCATTTAATTATTCTCATTTATTTTGTTAATGTGGTGAGTTGCATTTATTTTTCAAATTTGAAACCCACATTAGATTCTAGGAACAAATTCAACCTTGTAGTGATATAAGATAGCTTGTATCTGTAAGTAAATTCAGTTTGCTACTATTTTGCATGGGGTTTTTTGCACCTGTGTTCATATGAGAGCTGGACCTGTAAATATTTTTTCTTGTAATGCCCCTTTCACATTTTGGTAAATCAGGTCTATTCTAGTTTCATAAAACAAGTTGTAAATTATTTTTATTTTTCTCCTCTCTGGAAAAGTTTTTTGTAAGATTGGGGTTATTTCTTTAAATGTTTGGTAGAATTCAGGAGTGACACTATTTAGGCCCAGTAAGTTTTTTTGTGCAAAGGTTTTTTTTTTTTTTTTTTTTTTTTGAGACGGAGTCTCGCTCTGTCGCCCAGGCTGGAGTGCAGTGGCCGGATCTCAGCTCACTGCAAGCTCCGCCTCCCGGGTTTACGCCATTCTCCTGCCTCAGCCTCCCGAGTAGCTGGGACTACAGGCGCCCGCCACCTCGCCCAGCTAGTTTTTTGTATTTTTTTTTAGTAGAGACGGGGTTTCACCGGGTTAGCCAGGATGGTCTCAATCTCCTGACCTCGTGATCCGCCCGTCTCGGCCTCCCAAAGTGCTGGGATTACAGGCTTGAGCCACCGCGCCCGGCCTGTGCAAAGATTTTAAACTAGGGATTTAATATCTTTATTAGACATGGAACTATTTAAAGTTCCTGATTCTCCCTGAGTCAGTTTAAGTAAATTGTATTTTTCTAGGAATTAGTGCATTTCATCGGAATTTTCAAATTTCTTGTCATCAGTGTTCTTGTAATCCACTCATATTTTTCACGTCTGTAAGTTCCATAATGATGCCCCTTGTTTAATAGTGGGTATTATGAATTCTCTTTTCTCTTGACCAGTTGTGCCAAATGTTAGTGATTTTTATTAGTACTGTGGACTCTTGAACAACACAGGTTTGAATTGTGTGTGTCCTTGTATACGTAGATATTTTTCCAGTCAGATGCAGATCAAAAATACAGTATTCATGGGATACAAAACCTACTCAGATGGAGGGCTGACCTTTCCTGTACGCAGGTTCTACAAGGCCAACTGTGGAACTTTAGTATGCTTGGATTTTGGCACACATGGGGTCCTGGAACCAGTTGCCCCTCATATACTGAAGGACGACTGTATTTTCACAAACTAATTTTTAGCTCTTTTGATTGTGTCCATTTTATATTTGTTTCCTATTTTGTTAATTATCTTTATCGTTTCCTTTTTGTCTGGATTTAATTTGTTCTTTAAGGTGGGTGCTTAGGATTAATTTTCAACCTTTCCTCTATAATATTTACATGATAGGGTCATAACTTTCCCTCTGTGTTCGCTTTTGCCTGCAGTATACATATTTGATTATATTACATTTTTATCTTTGAATTTTGAGATTTCTACTCAGTTTCTCCTGTGACCCATGTGTTACCTAGAAGTATATTCATTTTTAAATATTTGCAAGTTTTTAGTTACAATTTCTATGAACTTTTATTGAAGTATAACACATAGCCAAGTACACACATTATGAGTGTATACCTCAGTAAATTTTTCACAATCAGAATGTAACCAACATTTAGGCCAAGGAAAGTAGTTTACCTGCTGCTGCAAGCTTTCTTAGGTGTATATACAGATATTTTTGCACGGAGAAGGAAGAGCCCTTCACAAGGTGAAAGATAATGGGGCCACATGTGTATTTTTGATTCCCCACGGTAGGAGCTGGAGGAGGGATGACACTCAGTAGAGTTTTCTCAGGTGAAAGGAGCAGTAGATGATGATGTAGCAGATGATGTCACAAGTGGTGTGGAATTTTATTAATTTTTCTCTAACTATTGACCGTAACTATTTCATTAGTTTTTTTCTTCCATAGTAGGATTTATTCATTCTGGAGAATTGGTCGGAACTGGAGATACGGGTGGCAGAGTCATAATACTTCAACAGGAGCAGATGAACAAAATCTCATCTTAAGCAGAAGGGAATACCATGTTTACAGGACCTTTCAGAACCATGAGGCAGAGTTTGACCACTTGAAAATTTCAGAAAGAGAAGAAAAGTTCCACAAAACTAGGTGGTTACCCGAGAAAAATTCTGCTCAGTATTGTCTACCAATAATAAAACAATACAATTATGGAAAATCAGTGAAAGGGACGAAAGACCAGAAGGATATAACTTGAAGAGGAAGATGGAGTGTGTAGAGATGCCACCACAGCTACTGCACTGTGAGTGCCAGTCTTTTGTCCACAAAGAGCATCTGCCAATGCTCATACTTGTCACATCAACTCAATTCCTGTTAATAGTGATTTTGAAACATATTTATCTGCAGGTGATTTGCAGATTAAAATCAGGTCTTTGGCCGGGCACGGTGGCTCATGCCTGTAATCCCCTGCACTTTGGGAGGCCGAGGTGGGTGGATCACGAGGTCAGGAGATTGAGACCATCCTGGCTAACACAGTGAAACCCTGTCTTTACTAAAAAATACAAAAAATTAGCCAGGCATGATGGCGGGCACCTATAGACCCAGGTGTTCGGGAGGCTGAGGCAGGAGAATGGCGTGAACCTGGGAGGCACAGCTTGCAGTGAGCTGAGATCGTGCCACTGCACTCCAGCCTGGGTGACAGAGTGAGACTGCGTCTCAAAAAAAAAAAAAAAAAAACAAATCAAGTCTTTGGCATCTGGAAATTATAGACGGGAGTTTTAATATTGTAGATATCAAGCCTGACAATATGGAAGAGCTAACCGGTGATTTCAGCTGCAGAATTCCATCTGAACAGCTGTAACACATCTGTATCTAGCAGCAGTAAAGGAACTATTTGCTCATGTGACGTGAGAGTGTCTGCCCTCTGTGATAGGCATTCTACGCTGAAGAACCTGATGATTCCAGCAACGGGTCATTTTTGTCTGAAATCATCTCCTTTATTTCTGATGTAAAATTCAGCCAGAGTGGTCAAATATGATGATAGAGACCATTTGTTCGTCAAAAGTTAGAACTTCAATATGGAAAACATGGCTGGGCACAGTGGCTCACACCTGTAATCCCAGCACTTTGGGAAGCCGAGGTGGGCAGATCACCTGAGGTCAGGAGTTTGAGACCAGCCTGGCTAACATTGAGAAACCCCATCTCTACTGAAAATAACAAAAATTAGCCGGGCTCAGTTGCACACGCCTGTAATCCCAGCTACTTGGGAGCCTGAGGCTGGAGAAGCACTTGAACCTGGGGAGTGGAGGTTGTGGTGAGCCGAGACTGCGCCCCTGCACTCCAGCCTGGGCCACAGGGTGAGACTCCATCTCAAAAAAAAAAAAAAAAAAAAAAATTCTGGAAAATACCTGTGGAAATGTAACAGATGCACGAGTAGCTCAGAAGTAAACTGTGCACTGTGTGAAAAGGACCATGTGTCTGACGAATTCCATGTTGTTGGAATGGATCTGACAGTGTTGTGACTGGGTCTTACAGTAATTTCAGAATGTTTGACAGGAACACAAAACAAGACCTAACCTTAGAAGTATCACGGGAAAGCAGTAAGCCTGGTACAATTCTGAAGCCATGCGAAGTCCGTGCAGGCAGCAAGCAAAAGAAGATGAAATCAGTGTTGACAGCCGAGACTCCAGCAAGGAAATCCCGTGTGAGCCTGGCACCCCAAGGAAAGTATCGTGCTGCGGCCAGTACAATCTGTGTGTGTTTCAAGACGGTAAAATTAGGGCTGGCATTCCTAGCCAGAGAACCCCCTTCCTGCCTCGTTGCAGTGGCTGAATCAGCCTTCGTGATGATAAGAGCACTCTTGCAGTGCCCGTTTCCTGTGTCTGACAGCGAGTCACCAACAGCACGCCTCTACGGCTGCGTGAGGAGAGCTCCGTGGATCGCGCACGCTGGTGCCCCCGTGTCCGCTTGTGCCTTCGGGCCTCCTGGACTCAATTGCTCTGCACCGGCGTTGGTTTCCTCCAGTCCTTACGCCCTCTGCTGTGGTAGTGTGAGACGCAGCAAAGGCCTTCAGTCACGCTGTGAGATTTAACTGTGTGTCCTCATTCCTGTACCATTGTGGAGCACACACCCACCTTTTAAAAATTAAATACAAAAAGAAAACATTCGTTTATGATTTTCCTAGGGATTGTGCGAACAATCTTGGCTTTTAAAAGTCTAACGTAAATTCAGTTTTCCTGATGATGCAAGGGCCTCAGCTCTCACCCAATCCCCCTTCTCCTGGCCTTCCCACACCGCTCCTCCAGCCACACTGGCTCTCACTGCGCTAGGCCCCACCATACAGTGCAGCCATGGACAGCTAATACTCATTTAGATTTTCCCCCATTTCCCCCTCTTCCCTGTTCCTCTCTGCCTCCCAAATCTCTGTGCTTCTATCAGGAATTATTTTTCCTACCTACAGGGAATTCCTTTATTATTTTAGTACTGGGCTGTTAGTGACAAATTTTCAGTTTCTGTTTTTAAAAAATACCTCTTTTTCTTGAAGTACATTTTCACAGACTTCAGAATTCTTTGTTGAAAATGAATGCACCTTAGCACTTTGAAAATTCCAGCCCTGGCTTATCGCCGGCTCTCTGCGACATGGGTGCCGGGGTGGAGGAACGGCTGCCTGTGTTCTGCGCAGGCCTCACTGAGGTCTGTGCATCTGTGCTGTGATGCCATTTGTTAGTTTTGTAGACTTCTTGGCTGTTCTGTCTCTAAGCTCATCTTCTGGACATTCTGGAGCGCCCGTCATGTGTAGAATGACTCAGTCCCCCTTACCCAGAAGGCCGTGGAGCCAGATTGATCTGTGACAGCTTCTTCAGTTGCTCCCATTTCTGGTCCATGGAGCTCTTGGTCTTGTCTTTGAGTCATCTGTGTATTTATAATATACGTTAGATAATAGTGACAGTCCCTGCTCGCTGTGCACTCACATGGGCCATGCTCCGCTGGGAGCACTTTTCCTGTATTGTGTCACCTGCTACTTGCCATGGCCAGGGCTGAGGGGTGCTGTTTCTGCCTCTCTTTTATACATGGGGAGACCAAGGCACAGAGGAATTAGGTGAAGAAGCAGGGTTGCAGGTCAAGGGTGTGCAGAGCTGGATTTAGGCCAGACTCTGAGCTCCTGACCCCTGTCCCATTGGACACACTGCTTGTGCCTTTGCCGTTTGGTATGTATGGGAGGGTGTTACACAGGAGCTCCTACCCCATCCGAGCCAGAGCCAGGTCTCCCCTCTGCTGGGTTTGAGTCCTCGCGTTACAGAGGAGCTCACCTCCAGGATGCTCTGCTTGGCCTCTGCCTCTGGGGACCTGGGAGTGGATTCTGGAGTGGGTTCCAGGACCTCTTCATCTGCACCTGCCCCGGGTGTTGGAGCTGGTGCCTTAATCCTGATCTAAGCCAGTCTACACTGTCTTCTAGAATTCTTCAGTCTGATTGATTCAAGATATCATTTCCTGTTTTCTACCACAAATAGAGTATTTTTTCCTAAATTTTACTGTCATTTCAGTGGGATTTGGGGAGCCAGTGGTAGGTAGGTGGATGGGCTCAGATGACCATCTTGACCTTCTACACGCTCACCGTCCTGAACCACAGAATGGGAGGAGGTACAAGGTTCTTCCTACATCTTGTCATTCTGGTGTTTGCCCCTTTCTTTGTTTTTGGTTTTGGATTTTGGTGTTTGAGGGGTTTGTTTGTTTGTTTGTTTTGAGATGGAGTCTCGCTCTGTTGCCCAGGCTGGAGTACAATGGCATGATCTTGGCTCATTGCAACCTCCGCCTCCCGGGTTCAAGCGATTCTTCTGCCTCAGCCTCCCAAGTAGCTGGGATTACAGGCACCTGCCATCACGCCCAGATAACTTGTATTTTTGATAGAGATGGGGTTTCACCATGTTGGCCAGGCTGGTCTTGAACTCCTGACCTCAAGCGATCCGCCCACCTTAGTCTCCCAAAGTACTGGGATTACAAGCAGGAGCCCCTTTTCTTTGAACTGCTCAGGCGATTCTGGTTCACGGCAGCTCCATGCCTAGCACAGCTGTCACCTGGTATTCTGTGCTAGCGTGGTCCTTGGTGGGGAAAGTGAGGGAAGGCCGGGGTGTGGGGAGGCGAGGCAGGGCACCCTGGAGGCACTTGAGAAGGAAGTTGGCAGTGTCTGCATGAGGGCTTGTAACCAGACGCTTTTTTTTTTTTTTTTTTTTGAAACAGAGTCTCACTCTGTTGGCCAGGCGGGAGTACAGTGGCGCGATCTCGGCTCACTGCAACCTCCACCTTCCTGGGATCACACCATTCTCTTGCCTCAGCCTCCCGAGTAGCTGGGACTACAAGCTCCTGCCACCACGCCCGGCTACTACTTTGTATTTTTAGTAGTGACGGGGTTTCACCGTGTTAGCCAGGATGGTCTCGATCTCCTGACCTCGTGATCCGTCTACCTCGGCCTCCCGAAATGCTGAGATTACAAACGTGAGCCACCACGCCCGGCCTACCAGATGGCTGTTTCTTAAACCTGCATCCTTTCTTAAGGTCCTTACACTTGCTTTTTAAATAACTTGACATGTACTTGTGACTACATAGTGGTGACTTAATGCTTATCAGCTTATTTCATCCTTCTGATTTTAGTGTGTCTCCACTGTACAGGAGGCTGGGCTGGAGGTCTTCATTCGTGGCGACCCTCTGCCCTCACTAAGACCCTTTTGAGGAGGGAGCGTATCTTTGCCGTAGCCCAGAGGGGCTCAGCGCCTACCAGGCTCTGCCTCCCAGCCCTCACCACTGCCCGGCACTGCCCTCAGAAGGAAGCGGCCAGGACGAGGGACTGTCCTGCTGATCGAAGCTGTACCTGGCAGGGCCGCTGAGAGGCCATTCACAATGTACTGGCCATTTGAGTCATCTACAGCTAATTCTAGGTCTTGAAGTACAGATTTTAACTGGTGGCCAGAAGCATTTATTAGACGCAATAAATGTAGAGTTGTTTCTTTCTGTTTCAGACTGACGCAGATATCCAGGCGTTCTTCATGAGCATAGGCAGTCTGTGTAAGAAGTACTCCAGGGAAACCTCCCAGGTGAGCTGTGGGGGGTGCACTTGGTTCCGTGATGAGCAGATGCACTATTCCGAGACTGTGGAGCTGTGGGGGGTGCACTTGGTTCCGTGATGAGCAGGTGCACTATTCCGAGACTGTGGAGCTGTGGGGGGTGCACTTGGTTCCGTGATGAGCAGATGCACTATCCCAAGACTGTGGAGCTGTGGGGGGTGGGCTTGGTTCCGTGCTGAGCCAAGTGCACTATCCTGAGACCATGTGTTTTCTGTGTTCTGGAGGCAAGTTCCTTTGAAGATATTTGATCAGCAAATATTTTCTGCCAGAATATTTCTGTGGGTTGAATTTTTACTTACTTAATGGTGAAACATTTACATACAAAAGGTTCTGATTTTGACAACGTCCATTTGGTCTATTTTATTGTTGTTTTTGCTTTTGCTGTCACATTGAGACAAAGTGGTCTCAGTCAGCTCTGGGGTCCTTTTGGGCAAGATGCCCCCTCCCCATATTCACACCTTAGAATCTCAGGTTTGGGAACCCTCCCCACCAGGTCAGGGCTCTCTGGGTTCAGGGCAGCAGGTTTCTTCTTGACACTGTCCTTCTCTGACAGTCGCCTGGAGCCTTCTGCCCGGCTTCCGATCGCTGCTGATCCCTGCATGGCAATGTTGGCTCCATGGGCCCCCCTCCTGGTAGCTGAGCCCCTTTCATGGCAATGTTGGCTCCATGGGCCCCCCTCCTGGTAGCTGAGCCCCTGTCATGGCAGTGTTGGCCCGTGATGCCCCCTCCTGAAAGCTGAGCCCCTGCCATGGTAATGTTGGCTCCATGGTTTCCCCTCCTGGCAGCTGAGCCCCTGCTGTGGAAGTGTTGGCTCCGTGGTCCCCTCCCCTGGCAGCTTTTGCCAGCTGCTGTGCCAGTCCTCTCAGTTGCAGCTTGTCCATTCTCTACCTGTTTCTTCCTGACCCTCCTCCCAGTTAGCACGCGCCTCCATGCCAAGCCTCCCCCACCCCCGGCTTCTGACACAGGTCATTGTCCTCTGTGCCCACCCCTGCATGCTGAGTGGCACTTCTGGCCTCCTTGGATGTCACTGGACAGCTGCAGTCCACCAGTCTGGGGGACAGCTGCCAGGAGAAGAAGGGGTCCTTCCCCTGGCCCCCATCCCGCACTTCCTTTCCCTCTTCTGTAAAGAGTGCAGCTCCCACCGTTGGCCACCCCACCTGCCTTGCGGGGAAAGAGGCCTAGTAGGGGCAGCCAGGATCTGAGGCGAGACACTGAGGATGGACCCCCGCATGTCACTCTCCTTGGTGGGCTTGTGCCTTCAGGCCGTGGTCAGCCAGGTCACCAAGACTGTCCTCTCTCTGGGAGGTTGTCCCACTGCAGCAAGCTTCCTTGGTTCTGAAACAGCCTGAATCAGCCACAGTGTCTCGAGCTGTCCCGGGGCTGTTCTGAAACAGCCTGAATCAGCCACAGTGTCTCAGGCTGTCCTGTGGCTGTTCCCATCTCAAGTTATGCTCAGTCACATCCTCCAGGGAGGTGCCCAGAGGCTCAACCCGTGGAAGCCAAGCAGCACCCAGAGATCCCCAAGAGTGCTGGCTCAGCACCACACGGGCACCCAGACCAGGATGCCGGCGCTCCCAGAGCCAGCCAGAGTCCCATGGAAACACCATCCAGGACGCACCTCACCCCCCCACCCACGCTGCTCCACCCAGCAGGACCCTCATTCAAGCCAAGTCCCCTTGGGGCCAGAAGTCGCTGGAGTTCATAAAACACGTATGTTTTCACAGACCTCAGAGCCACAGGCTGCACGCTGCAGGGCAGTTTTGCCAAGTGCCGCAGAGGCCAGGTGCTGTCTCAGGAGAGAAGACCCAGCAGACCCGACCAGCCCCTCCAGCCACCTGTCTGCTCTGCCTCTCAGGCCTCTCAGGCTTTAGGCATGGACGGTGGAGACGGCTGGCTCCAGCCTGGGCAGCACAGGCTCTGCCCAGTGACCTCACAGCCCCACTGTCTGTCAGTTACACTACGGCGGTGAGCGCCACAAGCACAGGGTGGAATTTTCCCGTACCTACATGATGTGGTATTGTAATATTTACACTCTAATATCAACGTAACATAAATATTGGAATATTTGTTACATATATTAACACATAATGGATTTATTGTTATTTTTAAATGAATTAATAAATAGTTTTAAATTTGTCTCAGTCTTAATTTCTAATAGGGTAAATATCAACAGATAAAACCCACATAAGCAAAGCTCTTTGGGGCCTTCAGTAACTTTTAAGAGTGCAAAACTGGCCTAAGACCAAAACTGTGAGCACCACGGCTCAGGCCTTGGGACCTGCCCTGGGACAGCGTCAACAAACCACCTCAGCCTCTGCCTGCCCCAGTGCCCCTTCCTAGTCTAATTGGTAACAAACATCTTCCTCTTCCCAATAACCCTCTAAGATCCGTTCCATCCACCCAGCCTCTGCCCTGCCTCAGGCTTCGTCAGCACTGAACATGCAGACACTGGTCCTGGTGTGGTCAGGAGCTCATGTTGATGAATACAGGCACAGTCCACTCTGTGGAGGGGAACTGGTAGTGAACTGAAGAGTCAGAAGTGTGCTTCGGACCAGGCAGCCGCCTCTCCTGGCCTCTTGGTGAGAGTCCGCATGAGTGACCTGCACTGTCCCCCAACTACCTTCACTCTCAGGCCTTCACAGCCTCCTGGTTCGCAGGATGTGGGCAAAGCACGCATGAGCACCGGGCAGCTCCTCCTTGGGGCCCTGGGCTGACCTGGCCCAGCACAGCCTCTGTGACCATCGCAGCCCTGGAGTTTTGCAGTGATTTCATTGACCTGTTTCTCTGTCTCAGTTCAAGAGGCATATTCTCTGCAAGATAAACACTCACCATCCCTTTTAAACTTTGTTTTAGTATTAAAATCTACCCTCTTCTGAGGCCACACCCAGTGTCTCAAGTCTCTGGGCCCCAACATTGGTCAGAGTCCAGGCCAGATAAACCGCGGAGGCGGCATGATGCAGGCCCGTGTGGCTCCCCCAGTGGAGCCCTGGAGGCTGCTGTAGACCCGTCAACACCCGGACAAGTGGGTCTTGGCTGCCCCCCAAGCTCATGTGAGGCTCCCCAGCTCCGTGCTCAGTTGAACTCACCCCATCTGCTGCTCAGTTCCCCTTGGAGACTTGCCCTGCAGCCCAGTCCTTGCTGCAGCCACACCTGCCCTGCCAAATCAGAGCCAGCCACAGACTGACCTCATCTCACCAAGGCCTTTCGCTGAGAACAGCCAGACCGGGCACCCCCACAGTCGGGATCAGGCACGTCTGCTGGTAGGTTCCTCCGCGAGCATGTGAAGCTGAGGAGCAGAGGCCCTTGCCTGCAGGGTGGAATGTTCCTGCTGAGGGTGCTTTGGAGAAGCTTCCCACACAGGCACAATTGAGCGGGGCTTGAGGGGCGCGTGCAGGTGTCCCCGACAGGCAGCAGGACTTGAGAAGTGTCAGCAAAGGTTGGAAAGGTGCCCTGGCCGTGGCCTGCGATGTGCCCGAGAACTGGAGTCAGAGCAGCCTGCAGAGTCCTTCTGTCCACTCCTCTTCATAGCCCATGGCGTAGTACCCAAGACTGTCTTCCCTCCTGGGTGGAGACACAGTCCCCTTGTCGAGTAGGGGAGAACCCTAGAGCTCCGAGTCACTCCAAGAACGCAGCAGCCCGGAGACCACGAGGCTGTCATCCCTGCTGTCCTGTAGGAGGGCCCCTGTGCAGCCCCGTCCTCTGGAGATGGCCTGTCATGGAGGAGGTTGGGAACAAAGGCCTGGTGTGTGCTGGGCCTGCCTTTCCACAGAAGGGAAGATGCCTGCCCTGTGTTTGCACTGGGCCAGTGAGCCATGTGCAGACGCAAGCCGTTCCCTTGTGCTTGTGTGATCACCGCAGATGGCGGGGTGGAATGAAGTGGGGGATGGAGCTAGAGGATGCTGATTTCAGTAGCAATGGAGCCACAGTTAGCCCTGTTGTTTGTCAGCCTTTCCAGCCTGGTCTTTCCAGAGGGTAGGCACCACTGTCTGAACACTTGACTCATACGAAATAGCTCTCTCTTCCTCTGAGGAAATCACAGGCCTGTCTTTCCTGCTTCTGGTGGTTCTCTCAGAAACCCAGTTCAAGCTGCCTAGACAGCATACATGGAATCTGGGGCTCCTGTAAATGGGAGGTGCTGGTGTCAGGCATGGCTGGCTCTGGGAGTGCAGACAGGTCCACTAGGCATCTGCCAGCTCTGTGGGTCTCACTTAGCCTCATTCTGTGTGCCAGCTCTCTTTCCATCTGCCCCTGCCATTGGTCCAGCCCTGTTTGGTCAGGAGGCCCTTCCTCAAACCAGTGGCCATTATCAGAGGGACAGCACCCTGTGGTTGGCCCAGAGGGAGCACCACTCACAACCTGAATGGAGCAGGTTGCTGGGGAGACTTTCCTGTCGTGCCTGTTAAGCCTCCCCTGTGTTTGCCTTTGGCCCTGCCTGCTGGCACTCACACCTTCTCTGCCCACCCGTGGGGGGTGTCTGCCCTGGCAAGCACTGGCCATGGGCATCTGTGGGGGCAGGACACACATAAGACAAGCACTGTGAGCTGTTCTGAGAGTCCCTCCAGCCTCCTCCTCCCCCAACAAAACTTCCAGCCACAGAGATCATGTACCCATGTCAGCAGCTGAAACGTATGATCTTTTCAGGTTTCAGAATTTCAAGAAAAACACAGGAAGAGATTGTTAGCCTTCTATAGAGAAAAGGTAAGTCAAATAGATTCATTGTCACTTGAATTATTTTGACCTTTAGATTTAAATGTCAGACTTGTTAACACCTTGTTCTCAAAGGGGACAGGCTGCTAGATGCAATATCTGTTTCTCTGCATGTTTCCAGCTATGGGGACATTGTCACTGTCCCCTTCTGACCAGCCTATTGGCCCAACCCTTGTCTGTAGTTACCAAGTAGCCCATTGGGTGCAGCACCACATGGGCCTCCCTGCCCAGCCACGTTTATCCCCTCAGCCACTGGGGTCAACATCGGGGTCTTGGGAGCTTAGGAGGCAGTTTGAAGGCTTCTCTGCTTAACCATCCCATTTTAATAAACAAGTCCTTTTTAAAAAACTTTGAAGATTATGTAGTCAGTAAAGTCAGGAACCCAGCTTTAAAGACAAGGGACCCTGGGGCCATTCCCTGAGTACGGAAACCAGTGTGTGACCCTGCTGCCTCCTGTCTGTGCATGAACATTTTATGTACACTCAGACCTGGAGCAGACAGATCACCCTTGGCCCTGCTTGCCAGCTGGTCACCCCCTCCTTACCCCTTCCATCCTGTTACCCCCACCCTGTCTTGTCACCTTGCCCTGTCCTGTCACCCCCATCTCACCCCTCACCCCATCCTGTCACCTCATCCTGTTACTCCATCCCTGTCCTGTCACCTCTAATCCCAATTCTGTCACCCTTATCCCATCCTGTCACCACTCACACCATGTTGCTACCCCCACCCTGTCCTGTCACCCCATCCCATCCTATCACCCCTCATCCCATCCTGTCACCCCTCACGCCCACCCTGTCCTGTCACCCCGTATCAGTCTGTCTTCACACTGCTATAAAGAACTACCTGAGATTCAGTAATTGATAAAGGAAAGAGGTTGTATTGATTCATGTTCAACATGGCTGGGAAGGCCTCAGGAAACTTACAGTCACAGCGGAAGGCAAAGGAGAAGCAAGGCATGTCTTACATACCAGCAGGAGAGAGGGCAGGGGGAACTGCCAAACACTTTTAAACCATCAGATCTCATGAGAACTCACTATCACAAAAACAGCATGGGGGAAACTGCCCCCATGATCCAGTCACCTCCCACCAGGTCCCTCCCTTGACACATGGGGATTGCAATTCAAAATGAGATTTGGATGGGGACACAGAGCCAAACCACATCATTCCACCCCGCCCCCTCCTAAATCTCATATCCTTCTCACATTTCAAAACACAATCATACCTTCCCAGCAGTCCCCCAAAGTTTTAACCCATTCCAGCATAAACTCAGAAGTCCAAGCCCGAAGTCTTATCTGAGACAAGGCAAGTTCCTTTCACCTGTGAGCCTGTAGAATCAAAAACAAGTTAGTTACTTCCAAGATACTATGGGGGTACAGGCATTGGGTAAATGTTCCCATTCCAAGTGGGAGAAATTGACCAAAACAAAGGGGCTGCAGGCCCCATGCAAGTCCAAAACCCAGCAGGGCAGCCATTAAATCTTAAATTTCTCCTCTTATCCGATGTCTCACATCCAGGACATGGTGATGCAAGGGTCAGGGAGCTCCCAAGGCCTTGGGTAACTCCACCACTGTGGCTCTGCTGGGTACAGCCCCAGTGGCTGCTTTCTGGGCTGGGGTTGAGTGCCTGCAGCTTTTCTGGGTACACAGTGCAAGCTGTCAGTGGATCTACCATTCTGGGGTCTGGAGGACAGTGGCCCTCACGGCTTCACTAGGCAGCGCCCCAGTTGGGACTCTGTGTGGGAGCAACCACCCCACATTTCCCTTTTGCACTGCCCTAGCAGAGGTTCTCCGTGAGGGCTCTGCCTCTGCAGCAGACTTCTGCCTGGACATCCAGACATTTCCATACATCTTCTGAAATCTAGGTGGAGGTTCCCAAACCTCGACTCTTGTCTTCTGCACACATGCAGGTCCAACACCATATGGAAACCGCCATTGCTTGGGGTTTGCACCGTCTGAAGCAGCAGCCCAAATTGTACCTTAGACCCTTTTAGTCATGGCTGGAGCTAGAGTGGCTGGGATGCAGGGTGCCATGTCCTGAGGCTGCACAAGAGTTGGGCAGGGGACCTTGGCCTGGCCCATAAAACTACTTTTTTCTCTCTGGGCCTATGATGAGAGGGGCTGCTGTGAAGATCTCTCACATGCCCTGGAGACATGTTCTCCACCATCTTGGCTCCTCGTTACTTACACACATTTCTGCAGCCAGTTTGAATTTCTCCCCAGAAAATGGGTTTTTCTTTTCTACTGCATGGTCATGCTGCAGTTTTTTCAGACTTTTATGTTCTGCTTGCCTTTTAAACATAAGTTTCAATTTCATATCATCTCTTTGTGCACACTTACATGACTTTGCTTTCAGAAGAAGCCAGGTCACATCTTGAACGCTTTACTGCTTAGAAATTTCTTCTGCCAGATACCCTAAGTCATCTCTTTCAAGTTCAAAGTTCCACAGATCTCGAGGGCAGGAGCAAAATGCCTCCAGTCTCTTTGCTAAAGCATAACAAGAGTGACTTTTGCTCCAGTTCCCAATAAATGCCTCATCTCCATCTGAGACCTCCTCAGCCGGAACTTCACTATCCATATCACTATCAGCATTTGGGTCAAAGCCATTCAACAAATCTCTAGGAAGTTCCAAACTTTCTCACACCTTTCTGTCTTTTTCTGAGCCCTCCAAATTGTTCCAACTTCTGTCCATTACCCAGTCCCAAAGTTGCTTCCACATTTTTAGATATGTTTATAGCAGTGCCCCACTCTACTGGTACCAATTTTCTATATTAGTCCATTGTCACACCGCTATAAAGAACTACCTGAGACTGGTTGATTTATAAAGGAAGGGGGTTTAATTGACTCACAATTCTGCGTGGCTGGGAATCCCTTAGGAAACTTAGAATCATGGCAGAAGGCAAAGGGGAAGCAAGGCACATCTTACTTAGCGGCAGGAGGGGGTGGAGGGGAACTGCCAAACACTTTTAAATCTTCAAATCTCGTGAGAACTCAGTGTCATGAGGACAGCATGGGGGAACCACCCCCATGATCCAATCACCTCCCCCAGATTCTTCCCTTGACACATGGGATTACAATTTGAGATGAGACTTGGGTGGGGACACAGCCAAACCATATCATACCCCCACCACATTCCGTCACCCCTCAATCCCATTCTGTCACCCCCTTACCCTATCCTATTACCCCTTCCCTGCTTCTGTCACACCCACCCTGTCAGCCTCTCCCCTGTCGTGTCACCCCCACCTCGGTTCTGTCACCCTCACCCCATCCTGTCACCCCACCCTATCACCCTCACCCCATTCTGGCACCCCCACCTATCCTGTCACCCCCACCCCATCCTCTCACCCCCACTTCTCTCCTGCCACCCCCAATGCCATTGTCTCTCCCCCACCCTATCCTCTCTCCCCCACCC